CGGGAGCCCGCCGCTGCGCACCCGAGATCTGGAGCAATAACAGACACATCATGCGCATAAATAAACCCATGAGCGACTCTTTGCTGCCGGCAGCAGGGAAACCTCGGGCTGATTAAATGCAGACTTGGGGTGTCTGCCAGAGCAGGAGGGTGGCGGGGCACAAGGAACCCGCGTGGAGGCGAGGGGTGGGGGTGGGGGGGGCATGGAGGGAGTCCGGGGCTGGAGCCGAGCGAAAAACCCAAAGCCACCTTTAAAAACACAGGGGTGACCGGGGAGAGACTTTGGAGCCTTTAAACCGGGCGGCGGCAGACTCCGGTCCACAGCCGGTTCGGCTGGGTCCGATCTCCCGGCCCACGGCCCCGCGTGGCTGCCTGCGCTGGAAGGTCTCAGACCGTGGCTCCAGGCTCCAGTTTCCCAACTTCTAGCGAGCGCTGACAAAGCGGGTGACGAAGGGGAGGTCCCTCCCCGGCTCGCCGCCTTCTCGGCTGGGAGTGACTCATTACCTCGCTCCCTCCCTCGCGGCTGACCCCGGGCCAATGCCTTAATGAGCCTACACCTCACTCTACCCATCTGGCAGGGACAATTGCCTGGTGGAGTTTTTAGCTCCCCGGGGGCAGGGCTCGTGTCAGCAGCCGACCAGGTTCCTCGAGAGAGGCTTCTCGAAGGGTCTGGAGGAGCATAGAACCCTTGGGGTAGCCCCACGGCCCGAGGCCCTCCCCACGCACCGAAGCAGGCGGGGTGTGAATGCCCGTGCATTCCTCCAATTTCAGTCATCCAACAGCATTTTGTACTGAGTGCAGTTTCGCAAGTCTTGATGTCCTGGAGCATTTCCCCCCCCTTGGTCACCTCTTTAAAAAATGTGCTAGGGGAGGAAGAAGCAACCAGAGCAGGCCCCCAAAGTCTGCAGAGCCGCCCAGAAGCTCAGGGACATGAGCGCGAGGGGACAGACCGACCGGCGCCAGGGCGCCCGGCGCAACCGAAAGCCGGCAGCGAGGATCGC